CTCCTTGTTTAGTGTAGGTTTCACTCTCCTTGTTTAGTGTAGGTTTTAACTCTCCTTGTTTAGTGTAGGTTTCACTCTCCTTGTTTAGTGTAGGTTTAAAGTGTGGTACAGTTTCATAAAAAAATGGACAAAGTCAAAGCGATAAAAATTTGTTCAGCACAACAACGTACTGTAGATAATATCTGTGATTTGTGTTAGAATCGTCTCACACAGGAATATTTTATTCTAATTAGAATTATCTAATATTTCTGGGCCTGTATTCATGAAACCATTCTCATGCTCAAGCATGAATTCTGTACTCAAACCAGCTTTCTTGAGACTCGCTTCAATCAAGTGATATGGAACAAAAAGAACATTGTAATCATTTTAGCCAGCATTTTGCTTTGATCACCACACTTCTTTCCAATTGTTGACTAAACATGTTTTGTTTTTATTTATTCATGTATCACTGCAATAAAAAGTTGAGCTTGAGCACAGAATCAAAGTTTGAGCACAAGAATGGTTTCATAAATATAATACTGCTCGCAATTAAATCCTGAGCATTATCAATGTCACCTAAGTGGTCTTTACAGCATTGTTATGTTTTCCTGTATACAATATATTTAGTCAGTGATAATTACTTCTATACCTAAGCCTAGCTAGCCGATACATGTAAACCGTAAATAAATCACGGAATCTAGATGTAAATGCTCCATCTTATATACATTTTGTATTTACCTACCGCGATGGAACTCCGTTAGGTATCCATCTCTGATTCCTATTACCACAAACTTTCGACCATCAGCAACCAAGATGTTGGTTCTCCTCCACTCTGATAAGAGTCCTAGTTTTTCTATATCTAATGTTACAGATGCAGCATCAAAACACGCGTTCCATGCATTCCATGACAGTCTGAAGGCTGAGGTGGCTCACAGGGACATAGATGTGTGTGTGGTGTGTCCCAGCTATATCCAAACCAACCTGTCCAAGAACGCCGTTACTGGGGACGGGTCGCCATATGGTGGTAAGGTTGATTTTACTGATTATTTATGCATGCATAAACAAGAAAAAGAAATGGATAAATATTGCAGAAAGTTTACTCTTGCCGACTACATATGTCTATGTGGACGACACTTGTAGGAAATTACTCTTCATAGCTATGTGAACACTTGTAGGAAGTTACTCTTCATATCTATGTGGACACTTGTAGGAAGTTACTCTTCATATCTATGTGGACACTTGTAGAATTGTTTTATCACATTTAATTCAGTGTAAAAAAGAGAAAGTCACCATAAAAAACTTGTATCGTCGAGTCTTCAATGTTCATGAACTTCTTCTCGATGCCTTGGTGAACAATTTGTTGAAGTTAGATAGCATTCTGATCAATATTTGAAAGAAAATTGTTTCAATAAATTTCCGTCTTCACCTTCAACCTCTGAATCATCTTGCAAGTGATGTCAGCTGTAACAAGTTTGGTGATGTTCTATGACTACACAGACATGGTGCAATCCAATTCACTTGTAGGGAACCAGGTATAAATTTCCTTGTCATTGCAAACTTTGTTTCTTTCGTGCGAAGTATAAGTTTCCTTCTCATTGCAAACTTTGTTTCTTTCTTGATGTAGTTGATAACCTACTCAAATTGATGATTTTCATTTTAGTTGAGGAAAAAGACATAACGAATGGGATGAAGCCAGAGTATGTAGCCCGCCAGATCCTGTTGTCCGTGATAGAGAGACGAGATGAAGTTGTGTTGGGGCCTTTACACCATAGACTGGCTATTGTGTTAAGAACATTATCTCCTTACATCTATTTTTTCATAATGAAACATCGTGCCAACTCCAGCAGGAAACAATATCTGAAAAATAATTGATCTCATATTTTTTATGGTTTTCGCCTATATATAATGCATTTGTGAAATAAACATGCAATACATAAATTGGAGCTACTTCTGTACATACAAAATCTGTTTGTGTCTCCTATCAAGAAATTAAATAAGCCAAGGTCATTATACGTTGCGAGGGGTATACTGGAATCAGCTTGTCTGTCCTTCTGTAGAAAAAGGTTGTCCTGACAACTCCTTCGAAAGTAATGGACCAAATTTAATGAAACTTTCCAGATATTATAACTACCACCTGAAGTTGTGCAGCCAGGCATTATATTTTCATTGACCCTTTTTTGCAAAGTTATGGCCCTTTGTTGAAAAAATCCTGTTACTTTTTGTCCGGACAACTCCTTCTAAAGTTATGGATTAATTTCAACGAAAGTTTCCAGACATGATAACTACCACCTGATATTGTGCATCCAGGTATTATTTTTTTCATTCTGACCCTTTTTACGAAGGTATTGACCTTTGTTGAAAAATGCTTGCCCACACAACTACTCCAAAACTTTGATGGCCGACAAAACACATTTGATATTAACTGTGTTTTGTACCTTAAGAATCTATGTAATTGAGTACACAACACATTTAGTTAGTACAATTAAACGCATTTCGTCATGACATATATTTATGTACAAATAATTAGGTACAAAACACATTCGGTTAGTACGAATAAGAAATAGGCTTATTGATCTGACTAATGGGCTCAGATCAGCTCAGGCATAAATTTGAGACCAGACCAAACAGACCATGTTTAATAGTGGAGACTGATATCCCTGTCCACTTTTGACATTAATTACTTTATTCATACCCCAATGACAGACATACCAGCTCGTCTTTTCAGCTGCACATTCACTTTAATTCGTTATCATGGTGCATATGATTAATTGCACACCCGAGAACAGGGGAGTTTATTACAAGTTCAGGAGAATGGAACACCTTACTTGTTTTGTGCATGATTATTTGTACATAATTATTTGTCATGATGAAACATGTTTAATCTAACTTACCAAATGTATTTTGGACATAATTATTCGTACATTATTATTTGTCATGGCGAAACGTGTTTAGTCGAACTAACTAAATGTGTTTTGTACTCAATAACAATGATATCCAAGACTATGCGGCCTATTTCAGTGGAAGTTTTCAGATATGATAACTACTCCCTGATGTTGTGCATCCAGGTATATTTTTTCCAACCCTTTTTTATGGAGTTATGGCCCTTTCTTGAAAAACCCTTGTCCTGACAACTTTTCCTAATCTACTGGGCCAATTTCAAAGAACATTTACAGATGTGATATCTGCCCCTTGAAGTTGTGCATCCAAGTAGTAATTTTTCATTCCGACCCTTTTAAAAGGAGTTATGGCCGTTGTTGAAAAAACCTTGGTCTATCTCCTAAACTACTGGGGGGATTTCAATGACAGTTTACAGATATGGTAATTACCCCCTGATTTCATGCATCAAGGTAGTATGTTTTCATTTCAACCCTTTTTAAGGAGTTATGGCCCTTTGTCAAAATTCTTTATCCTGACATCTCTTCCTTAACTACGGTACTAGTGCTAGGACGATTTCAGCAAAACTCGTTTATCTGGGTTTACAAGATTTGGTTTTGCATGTATGTTTTGGCATTGGGAGGGAGTACAGGAAGTATGTCACTGACCTATATACTTAAATACGGTAAGTGTACAGCTCAGTCAATAAAGAAATCATTACTAGTAGGAGACTATGGATTGCTTTGCAATACTTTGCCTTAGTAAGCCTTTAGCTTACAATTCTGCTTTATAAATGAGTGGGGGGTATTATTTAGCCTTTGGCTTGCAGTTCTAGTTTAATCAGAGATAAAATGTCATATACCCAAAATTTAAACGACAAGACAAATAAAAGGTGATCCTGTCACCTCAGTATCTTAAAAGAGAGTGAAGAAATTTTGAAGGGACTTGAAAGGGACGCTAACTTGAAACCACCTGATAAGACTGACCAATGGGAGCCATAAGCAGATGAGAGAAGTGACCCCCACGGACTGGTCAAGCTCGGGCCAGTGAGCAGAAATTCTGGGTCTGAACAGATTTCACTCGCGTGTTACACCACCCTACAATTTGTAAACATAAAATTGAAAATATATAAGGAGTTGTAATTAACCATTTTGGAACAAAATATGCACATTATAAAAGAATGAAACCTGATATAAAGTGAACAACTCTCACTTTATTTGGGTATTCAGTTGCATAAAATTATAGTATTTATAATGCAACTGATCATTGATCGTTTTACTACTTCCGATTACAAACCGTTTATCGATTATGATTTTAAATTGATTGCCCATCACTAATCTACATACACTAACAAGTACTGGATAATGTGCAAATACCCAAAATAAGTAAATTGTCATTGTTTTTGTAACAATATGCATGATAAATATACTTATAAATTTACCCAGGTAGATTCATTTGTGATTTTATTTAAATGTAATACACTCTAACATACAAATTAAGATATTAATGATACAAAGCACTTTATCTGACTGGATTTGAAAGTCTTTTAAAAAGGTTTTAACTACACGTTCTGAGTATCGAATGATCACTCGATGAACAATTTGTAGATTTTCCATGCACAAAGTCCTGTTGCTGCCAATGCTACAAAATTATGTAGAACCTTGCGTCGGTAGTCATCACGGAAAATCAGCACTACTGGTGTACTGGAGGCAATATTGTGCAGAGGAAGTTTCTCAAGTCTGTGCACATTGTGTTCCACTTGGTATTTACAGAAAGGATCAAACTGCCAAGAAACAGCATACACTCCAGCAAAGGTAACACTGGCCAGTCCAAGTGGTAAATAAATATAGCTGTGGCTTGGATAGAAATACATGCAGCCCATAGAGATGACCCCAGACACAACTGTTGTTTTATGCAGACAGTTTCCAACTCTTATCCATCGTGCTGTCACATCACCAAGTTTACAGGTCTCAATAATAATTGTCTTTGTTTCAGCTTCTGAAGCTCTCTCCAGTTCAAGCTCACAGTCTCTTATACCACCACCTCCTTCTTCATCTGGCTCCCTTATAATTACAGTGCTAGGTCGTCCATTGCTACCCTTCTCTCTATAACAGAAGAAAATGGTTCATTTCATGTAAATATCTACAAATATATCAGTTGTTCTAGTAATACCCATTTTATGGTTAATATCTCCACCATTAGTGATGATTATGATCCTGGGTAACTAATACTGACCTTTAAATTCCGTTAAATTTAGATTAAAAATTCGGCTCTTTTATCATAACAAGATCTTGGTGTTCACAAAACTTGTATAGTTTATTAATTTGAATCAGCTTGTGTATTAGTCTAGTTACATCGTGTGCTTGATGGGGAGGGGATGGTTTCGTTCAGATTAGGTCATAAGGCCTGGCGACCTGCAGATAAATGGAATGAGTTAAGGAAATTATTGGAAGTAACTAAAACTGAGTTTATAAGTGAATGGATATATCCTAAAAGCTTAAATGTACCGATCAAAATCAACGCATGTTTCCAGCAATTTGAATTTGGCGGCATGTGTTTTCGACCATCTAAGCATCTTGTTTCTTTAAGAGGATGACAAACAGTATATACGACACTAAATTTCGCATCAATAGCTTCGAATTTCGATACTGTTTTAAAAGCCCAATGATACTGCAAAAATACAAAATAAGGATAGAATCTGTCCTTCAATAACAAACCTGCAAGTGTCTGCCATTTTCGGAAAGAGGTATCCTAAGGGGAGTAACTCTTCTTTCCTAACCAAATTAGCCATCCATAGTAGGCAGGTGACAAATAAAACTCGCCGGTTCCTACCAGATACAACTAAAATGCACAAGACCAGAGATGTAGAAAACCGCAATATATAGAACAAAAAGCACAAACTATTCTATATAATTTTACTCCGACATGGACTTATCTAAGCAAAAACCTGATGAATGTGGTTTATTCTGTCGCTCGGGGTAATGTAAACCCATCCACTGTACCTGTTATCCATTCAATCAATCCACATCTATCTAATCGTAAAATCAGTCCTCACTTTTACAATCAATAAATCAACCCACTGTTATCAAAGCAATAAAGCCATACTATGAAAGGCCGTTCATGTCAAAGACGAGATAAACTAACGCGTTAAACAAGGATTTTAAACAAGGATTTAACGCGTTAAAAATAGTTGTAACGCGCGATACAAGTGTATATTTAACATGATAGCATTTAACGCGTTACAACTATCTTTAACGCGTTAAATACATGTTTATCATCGCGTCAAAAAATATTTTATCGCGTTAAATGCTTACGCGTTAGACTTAACAACCAATCAGATGCGTCCTAATTACATATCAGTATTGTGAAACCAAAATGCAGTTATAACTATATGTTTTCGCATCGTACTGTTTCATTGGATTTTTTTATTTCATTTTTTTTATTATTTCAATTGAGTTTATGAGCAATGTTTAAGAAGTAGACAGATGCTATATGTTCAAAATGCATAAAACTATTTAAATTTTGATTGAGAATATGTACCATTATTTTTTATTGCAAAATAATAATTGCTGTGTCATTTTTATCAAAGTATTCCATTTCGAGTACAGTTCTATTTTGGGTACCCTCACCCTACACCCTTGTGATGAAAGAAGATCACCTTCTTATAATTATCCAGGGAAACAGTACGAAGCGAAAACATCAATTTTCGATCATATTTCTAAACATGGAAACCATATGATGAAATGAATTTTTAGGTAATAAATGAGTAAAATTTGTAAGAAATTGTCAAAACTTGTTTAATGAAGTGAAGAAAATTATTAAAATGCTGTCAAGTCATTTTCATAAACTGACTTACTGATAGTATATGATGAAATCTTCCATTTTGGGTACTCGACCAGCCAAAAAATTATAAGTGAACCTGACGCACTTTAATGAGCTCTATAAATAGACACACATGCTGTTGATACCCAAGAAATACATAAGAGGAAGGCTTAAGACATGTATTGTTTCATTACAGTAAAAAAAAATCAGTCTTTCAGAAAGTTAATATTTTTCTTTAAAATGTGTTCCATTTTGGGTAGCCTCAACCTAGTACTCTGAAGGTGAATATACACATGAAGTTCGATAACCATGATAAATGGAGCTAAACGCAAAGTGTACCCAAGGTACGCGACAGGTAGGGTTAACACTATCTACCTCTGCCCATTTTGTGGAGGGTGCATACATGATTGAGCAGTTAGAAACCTGGTTTGAGTGGTCAATTCCGGCGCCATCCACCTCTTACGTAAACCAGCTGCTAAGTGCTGTCGGAGTTATCATATATAATATAAACTTTATTTATTTAACAACAGTTATGAAACAAGTTATTTCAACTTATATTAATCACTCTTGTTGGCCCAGATGTTAGCGCGTGGGGGTATTAGTGTGGGAGGAAACCGGAGTACCCGGAGAAAACCCACGTAGTTAGGCAGGTGACACCAACCTTTTCACGTCCGATCGGGGAATCGAACCCCGGCCGCCTTGGTGAAAGGCAAGTGCGCTATCCATTGCATCTCCATTTACGGAGTTATTACGTGCACCATATCTGAATCGCGACAAGAAGACAGTAGTTCCTGCTCCGTGGACTTTACAGCCGCTACTATGTTCTCAAATTGGTCATCGGTCAGAAATTCTGCCCTCCCTAGTGCCACATCTCTCCTCAAGTTTTGTAGTCTAAACAATTACATTGATGTGAATAATATGACCTATCAACAACATATGATCTATCACATTAAGTTTCAGAACTAGTTGAATTTTTGAAGCTATTGAATTCCCAGCTGTCTTCGCCTGTTTCCGCAACTAAATTTAATGGGTCCTAGGTTTCTGAGAAAATTGAAATTTCGTCAAAATCATCTTGGCACAATTACCTACAACTATCTAATGTATATGTGCAGGGATGCGTTTTTTTGGAGAAAATAAGTATGTTCAGTCGCCTGATGTGTCTGTGACTCTGAACTTAACCACGTGACCTTACAACTTTGCCGAAATGTTATTTTCTACAATTTTATAAATGTAGAAGCGTATACAAAAGGTGTACCGTAAATGAGAAATTGGGCATTTTTGTCGTCTGAAGTGTCGGCGACATTTAACTTCAACTATGACTTCGAAACTTTACCAAAACATTTTTCGTATATACAGAAATTGTACCTTTTTGGGGAAAATTTGCATTTTTAGTCTTCCAAAGTGTCGGTGTAAGTGTATATAAAAAGTGTACTGTTTTTTAGGAACTTTGCAATTTCAGTCTCCCCAAGTGTCCACGACCTTGACCTTTGACCCTGTGACATGAAAACTTTGCGGAAATATTCCTTGCGTTACTTTATACAAAAAGTGTACCATTTTTATGAAAATTCGCAAATCCAGATTCTTGCCATGTTTTATGTTTCATTTGTATCTAGTGACCGTGAGCTTCTACCTCATGACGTTGAACAATATGTACCAATTACATTGTCTACAATTTACTGCTAGTTATTTGTTAACAAAACGTTAACCGTTTTTTCAGTTAACAAACTAGTTATATAGAATATTAACCAATGTCATCTGCTTATAAATCTACGTTAAATACAGATAAATTTTATATCATATGAAAAGAGCAAAACTCACGCTTTTTATGGTATATATTGTTTGTCAATATATACTCCAATAAGTGAATGTACATGCACCAATTCATATAGGGCCAGCGGAATCCAGGTAAAGCGAAGCTCACATAGTTTAAATATGGAGCAAGACAGGTACAGAAATCAACCAAGAGAACAACGACTTTGTACATTCTGTAACGTTAATGATGTTGAAGATGAATTCCATTTTATACTTAAATGCAAATTTTATGATGATTTTAGGCATGAATATATTAAACCTTATTTTTACAAACGACCAAGTGTTTTAAGTTAATAGAACTGTTCAATACCAAAATCGTTAAAGATCTGAATAAACTAGGCAAATTTTTGCATTTAAGTACAAAACGACGAAATAATACTGTTTAACTAAATATAATATTGCATGTTCTGTATGTTATACCCACATACATGTATATTGTGTTTTAGTAATCTATGTTATGCATTGTACATATGTATGTCTACTCTCCGATGTGTTGTAAACATAAGGAAATAAAGAATCTGAATCTGTATCTGACTAAGATTTTATTAATTATCGTCTTCGCATTAATTTTTTGTTAAAGTCTATTGCATCCTGTACATGTGTTCATGCTTACTATTGTGAATGAATATGTTCTTGTGAATGTGTGTTATTTTGCTGCTACAAAATTCATGTAAATGCCCTCAATATTTGAGAGCAAATATGTGTTTATTATGTCATTGTCATGTTTTAAGTGTGTGTAAAGCACAAAGGCATTGTTGCCTATTGCGAATTAAATAAAGGTATAACAAAATGTTTCCCCGTTCATGTGACAAATAATCCAAAAGTCATAACTAAGAAAAACCATGTATTTGAATGTTAATCATTGTTACACACACACATTTGGAACTGTTCGTATCAGTACGACTTGTGAAACATAAACATACAATATGTTACATTTAAACACATACATTACTTTCAAATTAGTGAAATGTTTGAAGAAGGCGAAACTGCCTGCACCTTTGAGCAAAAACACGGAAGGCCTGATGACGTCACGAATGTTGCTGCGTGACGTCATTCAGGCGGGTTTACAACAATGTTTATTTATAGACATTTCAGTTAAATGTTCTTCTGTACTGACTGGTGTTATTCGGCATTTTGATAGATGTATATTTAGTCAAATTATTAACTGAAATCTTTACTAATGTAACTTATTTGCCTGCATAAACGTTAGGCCTAAGTAATGATTATGGTAATGGTTATGGTTCGTTGCCAAAATAATCCTTCATCCACGATAAGATTATTAGTACAATATTCTATAAAACACGATAACAGTAATCCACTGTTGATAGGATTTTCTGAAGAAAAAAACCCAGGTCCTGGCGTCGTCAGCCATGATTAGGTACTGTATGTAACTGCACATTTGATTGGTCCATTCATTTATGACACTTAAACGCGTTAAAAAAATAAGTACAACATTCAACGCGTTAAACTTGGGAAGCATTTTAAATGATGTTTTAACGCGTTAAATGCTAACGCGTTAGTTTACCTCGTTTTTGACATGAACGGCCTTTCATACCATCCACTCTTTTGCGATAAATACACCAATCCAAAAATATCTGATCGATAAATCAATCCACAACAAGTAAATCAATCGCTACGTACTTCCAATCATTTTAGCAATGTGAGAAGTATCACATGCATACGAAAACCTTATTCTAGTTTGTTATGCATATTGAATGGGTAATCCTTGAAACCAATACATTTCAACTAAAAAGTACTTCTAAGTCATTTAAAAAAACATATAATAGAAAATGGGACAATTTTCCCAGTTGCCTTTTCCTGTATAACACGTGAAAATATTTAATAATTTTAGCGTTTTCCTGTATAACATGTGAAAATATTTAATTATTTTAGCCTATCTCCATCATATGTAAGTAATAACTTGGAACCATTTACCATCAATATTAACTTACTTCTAATTAGTTTATTCCAAAACCTTACGGACACTGTCAAAAATGTTTCCCCCAACATCATGAAAACAGAATATTTTCAACTTTAAAATTCCTTTAGAGTTAAAATAAAGTACAAAGTGAAAATTTGTGATTAGTAATTGAGTGAAATGTCTAAATCTAGATTGATTTTCAAGTATAATGTCAAAGTGATCTGCACA